TAAACCCCTAAACCCCTGAAACCTAAACCCTAAACTCTACACCCTAAACCCTAATCCCTGATCCCTAAACCCTATACCCTGAACCCTAAACCCAAACCCCTTAACCCTAAACCCTAAACCCTAAACCCTAAACCCTACACCCCTAATCCCTAATCCCTAATCCCTAAACCCTAAACCCTAAACCCCTAAACCCTAAACCCTAAACCCTAAACCCCTAAACCCTAAACCCCCCTTACAGTTCGTCCTGGCAAAGGCAGAGGTGCCGGCAGGGCAGGATCGCTGTGGTGCGTGGGTCTGTGAGGCAGATCACACCTCGTGACTCGGGGCTGACTTTAGGCTTAAGGGCAAAGGGGTTTAAGGGCTTTAAGGTTTAAGGGTTTAGGGTTTAGGGTTTTAGGGTTTTAGGGTTTAGGGTTTAGGGTTTAGGGATTTAGGCTTTAAAAGTTTGAGATATGGATAGGTCTCTAAATTAGGGTCCCTTTTTAGGTCCCCAATATAGTACGGCACGCCTATAACAGGGACCCATTTAGAGAACTACCCAAAAGTAGGCTTTAAACTTTGAGCGCCGCCAGGGCGTAGCATACTGCAAGGTTTAGGGCTCTGTAGATCTTTGGGATTTTTGGGTTAAGGCGGTTAAGGTTTGGGGATTTGATCATTGAGGCCCGCTATATTAACCCTGAAGCTAAATCCCCTGAACCCAAAACCCTATTCTAATTCTGAAGGCCCCTACATTAGTATGAGGGTAGCTCTCTAAATTAGGGTCCCTTTTAGGGTGCCTTTTATAAGGGTGCCGTACTAGTTTGGGGGACCTAAAAAGGGCCCCTAACTCAGAGAACTACCCGCATCTCAAACTTTTCAAGCCTAAATCCCTAAACCCGAAACCCTAAACCTAAACCTTAAAACACTAAACCCTAAACCCTAAACCCGAAACCTAAATGTATTGGGCAACTAAGAAGTTGAGACCGCCACTGCACGAAAATCTCGCGCAACTTCGGCCAGGGCGCAAGGCTCGCCCTGGGAGCTCTCGTCGTGCCGGGAGTCGTCCTCTGACTGTTTGGGTCTACAGGGTTTGGGGTTTAGGGTTTAGAGTTTAGGGTGGAGGGTTTAGGGTT